GAAATATCTAGATGGCAGAAACAAGTAGCCTAAATATTTATCTATTGAAATACTTTCTATTAAGTTACTTTCTTCTTTTTCTTATTCACGAAGGAATATCTACAATTCAATTGAATCTTTTTCTTACGTTTTATTAATTTATTATCCCTATTATTATTAATCGTACTATACTTCACTTAATCCTTATTATTTGTGTTATGAATAACAATATTTTTTTCTTCATATTATCATCAAAATATCACGCTAAATTGCTATTTATTTAACTAGATTCCTCTTTATTACTCTGAAAATTTTATGTATTTTAAAATGGTTTCGAATAATTTCATAAGTCAATAAATTTTTCTCTTGTTGCGTTCATAAGAAAAAAGGAGAAAGGAAGAAATTCCACTTATAAAAAGAAAAGAAAAGAGAAATATATCATAGAATATCATATTCATCTCATATTACATTTATCATATTCCGAGTTCATCTGTTCACTTCTTTTTTTTATTCTCTACAATTCATAATGAATATACACTAGAGAGTAGAAGTGCTTAGATGAAACTGTAAAAGTTTATAGATTAAATAAATATGTGTATCGATGTATATTAATATGTGCGTGTACATGTGTGTCTGTATGTATCCAAAGACTTGTGTTTATCCTTCTTGTTTTTTTATTATTTATTTGAGATATTTCATGATATTGAAAAATTGAGAAAAGCAAATGATTATCAACCACGAAAACAAGTGTATGTGTGTGTATGTGCATTCATGTGTGTGCGTGTGTGTGGTTGTGGTTTTTTTTTTCAATATTCCAATTTTTCTTACTATAAAGAGGCAGACAAATAAACAAACAAAATTCTATTCCTCTTAAATAAAATACCACAAAATTCCTTGAAACAAGTAAACAATCAAACTACTAATTTTCAATATAATTTTTACCCACATTACTTTATTTTTCAAAAAAAAATGGTCATAATATGAGGTTGAAAAACTTTTTTTTTCAAGTCAAACCAAGTTAAAAAAGAAAAGATTATCAAGTTGAAAATAAAACAAAAATATCATGGGAGTCATTGAAGATGAGTAGATTAAATTTTGACAGTATGTCTTTATATAGAAACGGGTTGATTTTATTTGAATATCTATTTCATGTTAGTTAACAGAAATATTTGTTCCTTATATATTATTTCTTATTTCATTTAACCATATATTAGTATGATATTAGCATCACCATCATCATCATCATCATCATCATCATCATCAACAACAACAACAACACAAACAACAAGAAAAACAGAAGATAAGTAAACAATAAAAATCTATAAAGTAAAATATTGGCAAGAAAATGGAAAACTAGTAGTAAAATTAATAGATGTTATTGTACTGTTATAATTCACCCAAAATATCACTTTAAAATATGACAATATAAAAAATCATAATTAAAATCTTATTTCATTTTTCTTATCTTTTAAAAATCAGATACTACTTCAATTTATTTTAGAATATAGAACTTAGTATTTAAAATAAAAAAGACGATTAGTGGTAAATAGAACTTAGAAATTAATAATAAGAAATAATATCAGGAGTTTTGTGGAGATTTTAGAAATTTCAATGGTTGAAATCATGAATCAATTGAAGCTAGACTACCATGGAAAACCTGGAAGCATTGGAGGACCGTCTTGTCCTAGTGTGAGAATCCTTAGCAGAGCGCATCCGTGATCCCGTCTACCGCGAGATTTGAACTCAGGACCTATCAGTCTCGCGCGAAAGCGCTTAACCATTAGTTTCAATTGACTCATGATTTCAACCAGTGAAATTTCTAAAATCTCCACAAAACACCTGATAATAATCATCTGCTCACTAGTGACTGACATCAAGAGACATTTCTTGGAGTTCTAGTGAGAAGCCGTGACCAGTGGTTCAAAAAGGTCTGTTGTGAAATATCAGCTCACTGAAGACAATGGTGCACGGTGGCACAACTTCATGGATTGGTTGAAGTTAGACATTAACGTCGATGGATGCTGGCTCAGTGGTCTAATGGTTATGCGCTCGCGGGCGGTGCGGGATCGTGGATACGCACTACTGAGGAGTCTCATACTAGGACAAAACGGTCGTCCAGTGCTTCTAGGTTTTTCATGGTGGTCTAACCTCAATTTACTCATGATTTCAACTAGCGAAATAAGAAATAAATCAGAAATTAAAATGACTTTATTCATTGATTTTTATTTCTTTAGATTATTTTCTTTTCGATTAACTAATCGCTCAAAACTTTATAGAAAAATTTTCTCATTGTTTATAATAAAATGAACAAAAAATGAAGCACTGCATAAATACCATAAGATAGGTATAATTACAAAGTAATAGTTAGACGAATAGATATGAAAGAATACACTTACTAACGTCTGTTACCTCTCATGAACGAGAATAGGCCATTCACCAGAATTCTCCATCCTACTCTATTATGGACACTCCTTTCCAGTTACTATTCATTCTTTTCATGTCTGCTTCCAATTCTCGGTATAGTATGTTCTTCGGCCTTCCTCTTTTTTGTTTCCCTTCAATATTCCGAGTTAGTGCTTGCTTGTCTCGTGATGCAGTTTAACAATTTTCTCCATGTGTGTTCTATCCACTTCCAACGTTTCCTCCTAATTTTCTCTTCAACTGGAACCTGGTTTGTTCTCTTCCATAGTATGCTGTTACTGATGATTTTCGGCTAAAAAAACATTGAGTACCTTAAATAGACAATGGTTGCTAAATACTTGCACACACAAATTAATATGAATGATTAGTGGGAAAATATTATTATTTCAATATTCCTAATCTATTTTTAGAATAAAATATTAGCAAGTTAAAATGAATATTAGACTATTTCAATTTCATTCATTATAACAGATGGAAAGTGAACTGAATAGTTATAAATAACAAATTTATTTTGTGTATAAATGATTTACAAGATCATGGATATCTTTCGTCGGATAACAAATTTAACTAGAAATATGAAAGTAATAAAGTTGTTTTTTGATAGTTTAAAACGTTAGAAAATTGTATTCCTCTCTTAACTTCATTCTCTGAATGATTCTATAATATTCATATCACACAGTACTTATACTGTTGTCAATTTGTTTAATAACTATCAATACAAGAGGATTTGTGTAGATTGTAGTATTTCTATAGTTTAAATCATCAACACTGATCTTACCTAAACCAATGATGGAAATTAAGAAGTACTAACTTTCCTAAGGATTAAATATTTTTATTTCAAGTCTATTTGATATTTCTACTAACCATCTACTAAGTTTAAATTCACTTAATAATCAAACATACTACTTTTTTATTTATTACTATTAAATAGATTTTGATTAATTATCTTACATTTTTCTAATTTTTAAAAGAAAAATAAATCAAACTATTAGCTATTTACATATAAACGGTTAGTTTCAGCAGCCAACAGCACTTTCCATGATTATATTGAATACTATGACAGATATAAAATTATTCTTTTTATAATGTAAATATTCAGTTTATTTAACAATCATAATTTGCAATTCTACTCACATATAATTCAAATATAATAGAACAATTAATTATAAATCATTTTTGTATTGGTTGTTTGAATCTTCTAATTGATGTTTAGAGCTGCAATTGATCAGTCTCTTATGGGAATATGTGCATCCTATGCGGATTGTCTTGATATTACCTTAATTCACAAGCATCACAAACAAATATGGATAGTGGCTACCAGTGAAATCGAAAACAAGCGTTTCGACACATTTGGGACTCGTCAAGTGGATGTACCTGTGCAGAGTTGATGTTTGTTACGGGACTCGAACCCAGTGCCGTTTACTTCGAATGCCATCGCGTTATCCATTTAGCTACTAAGCATAGTTATATGTTAGCTTGTGTAATGGGGAATAGTTTAGTTCATTTTTGTATTGCTTGTTTGAATCTTCTCATTGATATTTAGGACTGAAATCATTGCTCATAATGATAAAATAACTTCCATTTCATATTCATCATAAAATGATATCAGCCGGAACAAACTATTGAAAACTAAAAAGAACTAGACTCCTGCTTTGTTCTACTTCAAAATTTCTCAGTATTCCTCATTCATAACCTGAAAGGTAACCTAAGGTATAGGTAGTAGATATTGTGATGATCACAATATTTTTCTAATCACAGATTTAAGATTCAGTGATCTATATTAACAAATTTAGTCAAATATAAATTCAGAAACAATGCGTTCAAATCTTAGGGAAGGATTATATTGTTCGTCCGGACTTTACCAGAAAAATGAAACTTTGTGGCCTATTTATTAAATCCGCTGTTAAATGCTTGATGGAGACGCTGAGAATTCATTTAAATTGAGTGAAAGTAAACTTTACAGTCCTATAAATGATTTTAGATTGATATCATAAAAGGATGAATGTTAGAATATCACTGAAAACTTGTAAACAATGGACGGCCATTTCGTTCTAGTATGTAACTCCCCAGTAGTACACGCGCAGACGCTCAACATCTACGCTACTGAGCCGGTATTCAACGGTGTTAGTGTCTAAGTTCAACCAATACACAATATTGCGCGACCGTCCACCATCATCCTCAGTGAGTAACTGCCCAACAAGAGACACACTTGAGCTCCATTGGTCAAAGCTTCTCACTTGAACTACAGGAAAACTATCTTGAACCAAGTCACTGGTGAGCCCATGATAATTATCAGTATACGGTTCGCATGCGAGACCGAAGGTCCTGAGTTCGAGTCCCATGTGTGTGATCGTCGATGCGCACTGCTGAGGAGTCCCATACTATGGCGAAACGGCCGTCCAATGCTCCCAGGTTCTCAATGGTGGCCTAATATTGATCCATTCATTATATCAATCTGAACTCAATAATCTCCCCAACCTTTACTGATAATTATAAATGAGTACCAAAAATATATTTGTACATTCGTATTCTCAATTTCTATTTCCATATTTCAGATTCATGTGAGTACACTTAAATATTTCTTTTCTTTCATTTTTCAGTTTATCATTTCCCGTGACGGTAATTGTGGTCTTAATTATGAACATTCTGTTGCTGACGGAATTGCTGTAGTACGTCTGATAGAACATATTCTTCAATATATGTAAGTTATTGAGCCTTATTCAATTTGCTGAATGGAATATAACTTCGAGAGCATTTTAAATAATGTCCTCATTAAGTAGTTGGAAAGTTCAAAAACTGATCATTTTACTTGTGGAGCTTGAATAATCTCAGCTTTGACCTTGGTGAAAATGATCAATACGTAATATTAATAAATCATAGAATACGACAGAGCTATTGTTAATTGTCAGAAATTCTTTAAATGAAACCAATTCATAAATAGAAACTGCTTCAAATTGAAACAAAATCTTTCATTCTCTAATCCCTAGTTAATCTATCAATATTAAATTACTAATTGAAGGTTATCGTAATGAGAACACAATTTAATTACTGAACATGTTGAAAAACCTCGTTTGTACGTCAAACGACTTCCCCACTAATTTTTAGTAGTTTCTAGGGTAGATTTTATCCAGCGGTCACTGGAACTTAACCATCAGTAGATATTCATTCGAATGTTTCTATTAAAAAGAACATGAGATAAATAATACTTATCACACTACAACAGTATTGACAAAAAGATATAGCTTTTTATTTGACAGAGATAATGTTATTATAGAATAATTTGCTCTCAAGAATATGTTAATTTAAGCAAGATAAAATAAAGACGGTATTTGCCTCCTATCTGAATTCTAGGAAACAAGTAAAACGATGGAAATTAGTTCGATTCCCATCTGTATGTGAATTGGCGTATCCGAGAAGAATGAAATGGAATTTAGACAATAATTCAAAATCAATGATTGACTACGCCTTGAATGAAATTGATAAGTAAGTAGCTTCTTTCTTTTCTCGATTATATAATTTAGTAAAACCAGGGTAGTTTTAATCATAATATCTCATCAGCTGATAATTTGTTGAGAATCAAGAAGTGATAAATATCCTTTTCGTCCTAGCTTTAAACTCAACTGTAACATGATTGCACTTAAGACTTACGTGAAAGCACTTGGTCAGTGAGTTGTAATCTAATAGTCAACATTTCAAGTCTTAATAACGAATAGAGACACTGGTGAGCCTTCAAATCTTTAAGAGTTCCTTACCTGATTCCAATAGGTAGAAAGAACTATCTTCAAATATCTACAAATCATTAAATTAAGAATAAAATGGGTAAAAGATAACTTGAGGTATTTCTATCATTTCGAGGCATCTCAAAAAATAAGTTCTGAACCGAGGAAATCTAAACAAATTATCCATTAAAATAGTTGTTGTGTGCTTAAATACCTAAACAAAACAATCATAAATACTGAACAAATGGATGTATAAAATTAATGCGATACATTGCTTCTAAAAAAAACATTTTAATCAATTCATTCGGAAGCCAGAGATGGTGACACTGACGAATTCAGATGATTAGTTATTCATTTCAAAATAGATCCATATAAAACGAGAGCGCAGTCATTAAGAATCGACAGAATGCAGGTGAAAACTCAGTAGAAATGTTTTGTTTGAATACCTCTTGACGAGGATAAAGCATAGCCTGTATTAACAATACGAAAGTGTTTGCTATCCACCTCCAGCGGCTCGTCCTGATTTCATCCTCCGCTGGGATCTGGTTTGTTCTCTCCCACAGTACGTTGTTGCTGATAGTGTCTGGCAAACGGATCCGAAGTATTTTGCGTAGACAACTGTTAATAAACACTTGTATCTTCTGGATAATGGCTTTCGTAGTTCTCCAAGTTTCCATCTCATACAGTAGAACTGTCATGACACTTGTTTTGAAAATTCTGGCCTTGGTGTTGGTTGACAGTTGTTTTGAGTTCCAAATGTTCTTCACTTGTAAATATGCTGCTCTTGTTTTGTTAAGGTGTGACTAGGGAGTTTTAAACTAAGAAGGTGTAGAATCTATCAACTGTTATGTGATAGGTAGCAAGTAACACTAACAATCAATCCTTAATCTTATAAATTCGTCAAAAGTTTACAAGACCATAAACTAACATTCATAAACATTTTAAGTAAAGCTTAATCCTAGTTATTTTGTATAAAATATTTTGCTTATGAGTGACGAGTTATTCTCTCTTCTGATAACTGTTCATTGTGAGCTTGTATCATTAATTTGGATTAATATGCAGTTTTCACTCAACCACAGTCAATTCAGCCAGTTATTTATCATTTATAATAACCATTATAGAAAGTGGGATTCGAATTCCTACGTGATAAAACTATGTTGATATCATTTTGTTTATATATTTTCCTTAACATAATGACAAATATCAGAAAAGGTTTTGTGGAGATTGTAGTAATTTTAATAGTTGAGATCATGAGTCAATTGAAGTTAGATCACCATGAAATATCTGGAAGAACTGAACGACAAGTGTTTATCATTTCAAATCTAATTAAAGAGTATTACATTTTATTTACCTATTTTCTTTCAAGTAAAACTTTCTTCCAAAAAACATTCTTCCAATTTCTTCGGTTATTTTATGCAGAAAATTAGGAAAAAAAACTTTTCTTTGGTTAATTCACTAGCTTTTAATTAAAATAAATTCGATTTGTTAGCATTTATCCCTGTTCTCCCTTCCTCCCCTTCTTCTTTTCGTTCATTTGGATACTAACTATTTATGATTTAATTAAATTATGCTTTTTCCCTTAGATGTTGATTAATCTATACAAAAAACCGAATCTTTCCTAAATTAACAATATTTAATTTTATTTACCTATGGATTGAAAAATACAAAAAAATTACTTATAAAACTTCATTATCTTCTTTTAGCTATGCTATTTCATCGAATGACCTTCAAAAAAAACGTGACTTGAATTGTTCAATCCCAACATACATTTGAATATATGATGAGAGAGTTTTAGTTATTTTATGATTTTTCATAAGTGTGAAGTAATAGAAAATCATGAAGAATAAACTATTCTATATTTACTACTGAATTAAATATCATTATCTGTTCATTCTTATATCAGTTTTTGCAGTAAATAATCACAGTTAAAGATACCTCAAACTTTTTCATAAAACTACTGAATAATTTAATAAGCAATAATGATGATTCTAAGGAAAGATGGATAGTGGGTAGCAGTGGAATCCAGGACACAAGTTTGTCCTATTCGAGACTTGTCAGGTGTCTAACAGGAATCAGTAGTTAAATGGATAACGCGATGGAGTTTGAGGCGAACGGTACTGAGTTCGAGTCCTAGAGTGAACATCAACCTTGAAATGCAGTTACATTCGGCTGAAGAGTCCCAAATAGAACGAAGTGTGTGTCCTGTATTTCAGTGCTAGCCACTATCCATCTTTGTAAATATTGCTTGTTAATTAAGGCAATAACGAAGCAATACGCACAGTGTGCACATATGCCCATAAGAGACTGATCAACTGCAAACCTAAACATCAATGGGAAGATTCAAATAAACAATACCAAGTGAATTTAATATAGATGATTATTAGTATCTTTTTTACTAAAATATAATTATAAACTTTCTTTTGAAATTAAAATATACATTAGACTGACAATTTTTCAATTGTATCATAGCCAGTAAATACTACTTTCAGTAGGACGTACTTTGAACTACAGGGTATAGAATTATTACATTCACATATTAAGCAACTAATATTGACTATTATTTATGTAAATAAACTCGATAACTGGTCAATAAGCGTTAAAACTATTGTTTTCCAATGAATTCGAACAAATAGCATAAACTATATCAAACATTTCTAAACTACAAACGAATAAAACTTATTTAGTTTATGAAGGATAAAAAGAGTAATAAGAAAGGCATTACCGTTATTAATATTATTATCTATATTATGATTAACCAGTAGAATCGATTATCTTCAAGAAGGAAAATTTTCAGCATAGGGTTACGGAGATTGTTGAGTTTAGATTGATGTCATGAATGGATGAATGTTAGGCCACCGTTGAAAACCTGAAAGCATTGGACGGCCGTTTCGTCCTAGTATGCGACCCCTCAGAAGTGCATATCTACGATCCCGCACCGAAGGGACTCGAACACAGGACCTTTGGTCTCACACGCGATCGCTTAACCTATAGACCCCTGAGCCAGCATCTATCGGTGTCTAACTCCAACAACTCCACGATATTGGGCGATTATCCACCATTGTCCTCAGTGAGTAACCACCTCACAACAGACACGGTTGAACTTCACTGGTCACGGCTTCTCGCTGAACGCGCACTGCTGAGAAGTCCCATACTAGGACGAAACAGTCATCCAGTGCTTCCAGGTTTTTAATGGTAGTTTAACATCAATCGATTCATGATATCAACCTAAAGGTACTTTTCATCAGAAAATGTATACTCATTATATTTTTCACTATTAAAATACAAATGCTATTCATTAGTTATAAATCTACTGGTGAAAATAATTACAAACTATCTTTTTTGTTTTAGGATAGCAGATGATCTGGACTTATACATACTTCGTTATAAACAATATGGACGAGAATTCCCAAAAACTGTTAACATGAGCCCAGATTCATTCATTCAATTAGCTTTACAATTAGCTCATTTCAAGTAAGTTATACAGTAATAATAATAATGATAATAATAATAGTAATAACAAATAATATATACATTAATTTCGGAATATCAAATCATAATTTTGAAGAAAAATTTGCCTATCAATTAATCTCTATATTCGGTCACTCTTGTACAAAAGTTATTTCTAGATTGATTCATTTCGTTTATTGTACTAAAAGCTTCTAACTGAAACAAACAACATCGAAAGTGGTTGACTGAACAATTAATTAATCAGAAAACTATCTGCCTTGTTTGTATTCAATGGAATAATAACAGTTCGCAAAGCTTAACTGATTGATTTTTTTTATTTACGTAGGACAACCACTGATTAAATAGGAATAATAGTTTTATTTTTTATCATAGGAAAAGAATTTTCGACATCAGTTGTGTAGTACTGAAATAAAACCTCGAATATATTATTATTATTATTCAAGAGTTATATTTTATAAGTACTTCTACAATAGTCATGATTTTCCACTCATCTTAAATAATGAAGCTTTACTCTTAGTTTAGGTGTTACAATCAATTATTGAACACACGAATTCCAATATAATCGTCAATCGGTTTCTTTTTTCAAAGAACAAAGAATGTGGAGAATATGCCGATGAGTTTAGTGTTTCAGCATTTAGTACCGTGATAAATTGTAAGCCTTTCATAATATCACGTGAGTACGTAAAGGATTTACAATTATTTCTTTCGAACAAATCTAAAACAGGAAGGTTTATTGAAATATCTGCACAGTTGGGAAATGTGTCTAAAACTTTTTGCCGGGCAGCTGTCTTCAATAGTGGGGAATATAAAATATGAAAATGATATATATAATATTTGATCAAACAGAAAACCATGTCATTACATAAATACTGTTTTCTCTAGTATCATTATAAGATTAACAATTGATCACTTTTGAACTCATATTTGCTTCGAATGGAATGTACTCATGCGAAATAATGCTGTAAATCTTTACAAAAAATAATTGTGTTCAGCAGTAAACCTGAGTTAATTATTACCGCAAATATTCGTGAGTTTTCCTTAGTTAAAATGGTCAGGTGCGATCCGAAGAACTCCGTCATAACACCTGTAACTAGGACACTGAGTTATATGAGCTTGAATCGACTGAGTATTAAAAATTCTCTCAAGATGTTATTCACACTCTGATGATGAATGATGACTAGGACATGACATACGCAGCTCGCTGACGTTTAGCTTGAACTACCTAACGATGGGTATATATATGGTAGTTTATTGGTCTATTAAACTGTTATTTTCACATCTGACAACTTCAATACGCCTCACGATTACTAATTTTTTTCAGTAACCGTTAACTGACTATTAATACTTTATTACATAATAACTAGTAGGAAAATTATTCAGTACACTTTGAGTACAGAACTGAAAATAATCATGATCATAATCACAAAAGCATTTTAGTTGCAATAAAGTTTATGGTAGATAGGATACAAGTTGTCTTTCAATTCCTAATTTGAAAATACATTATAGAAATAGTCAACAAAGCTCGAAAAAATAGCAATAATATTGCGATTAACCCTTCATTACTTCTGTTGTGTATGCTACTTATGTTGACAGATGTAAGTATTATGTAACACCGATCAGAAGTGAAATGCCTGGCAGCAAACGATAGTATTGAAGAGAACAGAAGTGTAAACAGAGTAACTGTAAAAACGACAGGAATGAAGGAAAGATTGTTTGTAATAGAAAACTGATGGAAGATGTGCAAACGGTGCATGGCTTTCATATTTTATGAACACAGTGTAATTTTACATCAAACAAATTGGTTTTCCACACCTGAGTGTTCGTTCATCACACATCTACATAGGATTAAGGGAAATACAATTTACTTGCAAAATTTCGTTTTTTTCCAAATAAAATTTAGTCATTCGATAAAAAAGTAGATATGATATGCTACCACCCAAATCACGGTATGTAAACATAAATTTGTACTAACAGATTACAGAGTAGTGACCAATATCATGTTGTCTAACTTTGAAGAAAACGACAAATAGAATTCGGTGATGTTGCTGAGTTACTTGGCAAACAGGTGACTTTTTGAATGAGTTGACTGCTAGAGTCTGATCAATACTAAGCACCATGGAATTCGGTTGCTACCAAATGACCCCGTCGGGTAAAAATTTCAGTCATGAAGGAGGTAAATCTCGATCAACATCATATCCAGTAATACCCCTCACTGTGAGGCTGGATAGAGTATACTTCGATCTGAAGAGTATCATAAAATCCTTTATAAACTCAAAGAACGATTACTGCTGAATACGAAAGAATAAAAAAGTCTAATTTAAAGATTCCTGCATAAAGTCTGTAACCACCTAACACCATAAAGCTTTGTCATAATTTTCACTCCACAATCACAAAATATTATTTGATCATCTGCTTTATTCTATAAAATTACTCATGCGAAACGCAAAAATCATATTTCTGTATGATAAAAATGTCCATAAAAAGGACTGAAAATGTTTCTGGGAATGTAACAATATATTGTTATTTCTGTCATCAAGAGAGTTCTTCATTACATAGCTAGAATTTTATGTAAACAGAATATACCCATTGAGACAAAATAAGAAAGATTAGTTCAGCGAAGAATATTCTGTTGCAAAGATGATCATCTTACTAGAGAGATCTGCAAAGAAAAAATACTATCATTTGTGTGATTGACAAAAATTGTAACACTTCATAACATTTCTTTGAAATATAAGATATCAAAAGTTGTATATTCTTCTGACATAAGATGTCGACCAGTAAAATTGGTTTCATCGAGACAAAGGCTGATTTCCATTTCAAGAGAAATTTGTAGACAATAACCAGATTATGTCCCATATTCACTGATTTCCATGAGGTTTAATTTTTGTATACACCTGCTGATAAGAATTCAAATCTCGCGAGGACCATCAAAACCATTAAAAATAATAGATACGCCGACTTGATGAATGCAAACTAGCTCAAAATCTAGGTTTAGATTTTAATAAAGACTATCTTCAATCATCTAACAGTAACAATTAATAAATATCAAAAACTATCCGGCTCAAGATTATCCGAAATTTCCTCTACAATACCACTTTGTAACACTACTTGATTAGGTTGCTTTAAAGCTATGATAGAAGACTAATTCATCTCTTAACTTATCTGACCACGTTTGTTTTCCGTGTTTAACAGATTGCATAAATATTTAGTGCCAACTTATGAAAGTGCTTCAACAAGACGATTTGCTTTAGCTCGAGTTGATAATATTAGAGCTTGTTCAATGCCAGCTTTGGAGTGGTGCAAAGCAATGACAGGTCAGATCAAATGTTCAGTAAGTAATTTTATTTTAGTGAAGCTGTACAGTACTGTTTGTAGCCATTTAACATATGTAATAAACAACTAAACAGTAGAACAAGATTGAGATATAAAATGTGCGGGAACTATAAGCGTTAGAAGATTGTGTCATGATCTGAAGTTTTCAAAGACAGTAATATGAAAACTATTAAGAGAATAAACCGTTGAAACCATGAACCGATCAATGAAAACGTGGGAGCACTAAACCGAAAGTTCTGGATTCAATTCCTACATCGTGAGTCGTGAACGCGCACTTCTGAGGGTTTTCATACTAGGACGGAACGGCCGTTCAGGATTTCAATAGTGGTCTAATATTGATCGGTTCATGATTTCATTGAGATTTAACAATCATCACAGCTTTATACTGAGATGATTATCCCTTAGAAAAATATGGAGTAGGGAAAAACGAAACGAAAAGCTTCAATGCGATAATAACAAACAACTAACAATTACTAAAAATTAAATGACAGTAATAGCAACTGATTATCGAGTGATGAAGATCTAAATAAATTGTTTGAAAAATCAAGTTACTCATGCTAGTTAGCAGTGGCTGTTTCAACCTACATGAGATTAACTTTGCCAATCCAGTGCTATAGCAGCATTTACTCTATTTTAGAAAAATGTTCGAATTATATAATTCAAGCAGATTAACCAGGACACACTAATGAAATCATTTCTAATGAAAAAATCTAGTTAGACTCATGGTTAAAAAGGAAACTGTCGATAAGTAATGATAGATTTAAGTACAAAACTATATTATCGGTAAATAGATCGAAGAAAATTGTTCAATTATTGGTGCACATCAAAATTCTATCTTATTTCTAGTTAAACAATCATTTAACAGTTAAACTCATTCATAATTAAGGACACTGACATAAACCTCAATGACTAGATCTTCAAATTGAAGGTTAGTCACCTATTTGTGATTTATTACAACCATTGCAATTAATTCTGAATTTTTTATGGTAATAGGATGAGTGGTTTAATAGATATTAGTACAGGTCAAAGATATTTGAGGTAGTAGGGTTATTTTATCCAGATAACTAGTGAAAACCAGATTTTGGACAGTGTTTTCATTCTAGTATAGGATTTTTAATCAGTATGCACCCATAACTTAGATGGATTAAATTATGAACATAACGAATTCACACTGGGGTTTTCACCTTCAAACTGCTGAATTAGTATACGAAGAATCGCATATCCGAATTAAATCGATTTGCGATATTACTGTCCAGCGTCCCGTGGATTTACATACCTGCATAAATAAATTTAATACTTAATAAAAAATACCTTGAAAGTTTTCTGTAATAAACTCTGCAGATAAGTGACAAGCATCATTGAGAAAACGAACGTAATTATACGTCCGTTTTCTTACTAAAATATGACATCTTCGTTGAACTAAATTGAGTTACTTTCCAAAGGTCTGTAGTTTTAAACAAATTAGTCACTATTTGGATGCAGTTGGTTAGTAAATAAAACACTGGTGTTTGAAGTGATAGGAATAGAGTTCAATGCTCAAACAGTTAGATCCGTGTGCGGCTTGCTCATGAGTCCTGAAAAGGACAAAACAAGCATTTTGAATTGTACCACTGGCTATCATTCATATATATCATGACTTCATTGAATAAAATATGTAGAGTTGTAAATTGTAAAGTTCATATTGAGTTAATTTCAATAATAAAATTTGTTACTTACCGAATTCAATTATAGTTTTAACTGATAACTTTTAAAATAAAAACTTTTATAGACAGATGAAAAAATTCGTTTATTACGTAAAGCAATGGAATGGCAAACAGAAATTATGCTTGAAACTATTCTTGGTCATGGTGTAGATAATCACTTACTTGGTCTAAGACAAATAGCATTAGCTCATGGTAAAGAATTACCAAATATTTTCAAAGATCCAAGTTATATGGAATCAAACAGATTTCGTTTGTCTACAAGTCAAGTAAGTTATAAACTATTTTAAAACTAACTAACATAATATGATAAATTTTAGTTAAATAAAAATTATTCTAAGCAAAGATGAAAAGTGACTAGCAGTGAAATCCAGTTTGATGCACGTTTCTTCCTACTCGGGACTCGTCAGCTGAATGTACCTGCATCTTAGTGTTAATGGTCACTCTGGGACTCGAACCCAGTACTGTCCGCTTCTGAATATACAAACATTAATTAAAATTCATAATTGAATGCCAAGTACATAAAAGATATTAGTTAGAAAATTAAACATTTTTTAATGATATCAGAGGTATATGATTTGAAAGTTTTACCATATAATTGTAAAATTCTAAAAGTGCAGTGAACAGAACACGGGTGGTGACAACCGAACGTCTGCTGCCACACACTACATTCCTGATTCGCATAATATACTACTTATATCAATATAAGTAGCACGCACCACAAAAGTAATTTTAAAAATAAGATCATACATTTATTAAAATTAGTTGATAAGAGACCAATTTATATTTACTGAACTGATAAGCAACATTTTCTTTTAAGAAAAATTTTAAAAAATTGTTTGAATCAAAATTAAATTGGTATCATTTGGTCTTTTCATGTTAATCACTCGTTAGTGTTTGTTTTTTTTTGGGGGGGTTTCAATTTTTTTTCTTGATAGGGATTTTAAGAAAGGTATAATGAACTAATGATTTCTAAAATTAAGTTTTTAATAGAATAGCAATAAGTTTTTGTTTTTTTATCAAAATGTTATGTGATAAATTTATATATAAAATGCATTTTTTGAAGTTTTACTCTTTCCCGGTGTGCAATACATATATTGTTCATATAGCTTTATGATGTATTACGATGAATACTTACTTACTTACGCCTGTTACTCCTCACGAAGGAACATAGGCCGCTCACCAGCATTCTTCATCCAACACTGTCCCGGGCAATCCTTTCCAGTTCTTTCTAGTTGTTATTCATCCTTTTCGTATCTGCTTCTATTTCCCGACGTTATGTGTTCTTTGGCCTTCCTCTTTTCCGCTTCCCTTCAGGATTCCAAGTCAGGGATTGTCTTGTGATGTAGTTTGATGATTCGCGTAATGTATGTCCTATCCATTTCCATCGTCTTTTCATAATTTCCTCTTCAGCTGGAACCTGGTTTGTTCTCGCCCATAGAAGGCTGTTGCTGATGGTATCCGGCCAATGGATGTTGAACATCTTGCGTAGACAACCATTTCTAAATAATTGTACCTTCTTGATGATGATTGTTGTAGTTCTCCAAGTTTCAGCTCCGTACAGTAGAACCGTCTTGACGTTCGTATTGAAGATTCTGACTTTGATGTTAGTTGACAGACAGTTGTTTTGAGTTCCATATTCTCTCCAACTGTAGGAATGTGGCCCTTATTTTTGCAATCCTCGCCTTCACGACTGCATCTGATCATCCTTGTTCATCGATGATGTTTCCCAGGTATGTGAAGGATTCTACATCTTCCAGAGTTTCGCCATCAATTGTGAATGTATTGCTACTCTCCGTGTTGTATTTGAAGACCTTGGTTTTCCCTTTGTGTATGTTGAGGCTTACTGATGCAGAGACTGCTGCTACACTGGCTGTCTTTATCTGCATTTGTTCGTGTACGCGATAGGAGGGCTAGGTCATCTGCGAAGTCCAAGTCGTCTAATTTATTCTGAGCGGTCCATTGTATGCCGTGTTTTCCCTCAGATGTCGAGGTCTTCATAATCCAGTCGACCACCAGTAAAAATAATTCAAACCACGATGAATAACGTTCATTATAATTGACATGGAATAAAAATGAATGCCTTCACAGTGATTAGGAAGAAAATATGAAACATACATGTACTGCATTAACGACTCCAACAAGTTATGTGCATTAGATGATTGTAAGATAGTCAACTACGATTCCTAATGTAATACAAATAAATAATTGAAAACCTTGACTCAAATTGTTTTACTTCAATAATAATCTATTCTCTCACTACTTACCCTTAGAGATATAACAGTTTACATCTGATTTTATTTATCTTCAGTTGTTGTTGTTCTCATCCTTACTAACTTGTTATATTTTAAACTTTGTGAATAGCATTGAAAAAAATACTATTATCGGAATAAAATAGTTAATTTGTGCAATTTTCGATGAATCTTGAAAGTGGCTTTCCTCACAATCTGACATTCATTGTATAACCAATAGAAATCAAGGAGAAATAAACAACTGTTTCACCCAAGCCTTGAGTAGCTTAATATTGTGCACTCATAAAGAAAACTACTGAAGACTTTTAACTTACAAAAGAAATGTAGTCTCCTAAGTCACTAAATGGAAGTCCAGAAATTCGTATTTTTTCAAAGTTAATGAAATTTTGATATATTATGAGGCTCATTTAGAAACACTAGTAAATTACTTTCTCACTCTTGATGTGGTTAACTGTACAGTATATGCCTTCTCACTAGTATTTCAGAATATCGGTCTTGAGGTATGTGATTATTTCTGAGCTGGGTAGGTCATAATTTGATTTTGATTAATATAAAGGTAATATTCATCACGAGCTAATATCAATCGAAAACCATGGACCACATAAAAGATGCTTAATCATAATTCATTTCTCTAGCTAGAGAATCAATGAACACCAATTATTGACTAAACAACTTTAAGAAACGTAGATATTCAATGAAAAATTAGTAAAAAAAACAATTATTTTTTTCTATAAATTGATCAATTTTCTTAGCACTGAACAGTGAGGTATAACCTAAGTACTTTAAATCGATTGTCAACTACAAATCCATATCATGGAAACAATCATTCTGTAAAAAAAACACAATAATATCGATTGTAGGCAAACTATTTTTCTGAGTAAAATGAAACAGTCCCTGTTTTTTTCTTCAACATTATTCTTAAAATGCTTATATAACAATTCAAGTGATTGAAATTTCGATTTTTTCATAAAAAAGTAGAACAAAATAAAATAAAAGAATAAAATTTACTAGTGAAACAATTTCATGTTAATGAAACATATTGCTATTTTCTTTCTATCTACTTTGGAAATGACACAGAAATATTTTCATGGATTAATTAATTGTCACTTGAGCAAATAGGGCATGTATATAACAATGTTTAAACGTGCATACACAAAGACAGAACTCTTCATAGTCTATGCATACATTAATTGGAAGTGATAAGAATAATAAAAAAATGTGTATGCACTAATAGACAATTTCTCGTTTGTTCGTTTTTTTGTTGTTGTTATTAATTTTATTCACTGACAAAACTCTCATAGAATTAAGACAAGTAAATAAAATGAAAAAGCATTTGAAACTCTTCATTTGATGTGGAAAAAAAGAAAATAATAATAATAGATGAGTAACAAAAAAATAATCATTGATTCGAAGAAAAAAAACAAAAAAAATTATTTCCGATAACAGAAAGAAAGTGGCACAAATTTCTCCGTACAAAAAAATAAAATAACACAATTCAAATATATAAATACTCCACGTTGATAAGTCTGTAACGATAAATTAATAAATACAAAATAAAGTAAGTGAATAGTGATTGATTTAGTTTTTTTTTCAAAAACAAAAAACACTTTTCCAGTTGGGAAATTTTATCTAACAAATTAGTGGTAACAATTGTATCTAATTGAGATAAAGATTTTATATCTTTATAGATTTGTTTGTTGTTGTTTTTTCTTTGTAAATTTGTTCTATACAGTAAGTATCATGTGATTTCCATTTATATAAATGCAATAAGTAATATCGAATCATTCACAGTTGATTTAGTTATTTGAACACATAAATATTGGTACAAACGGGCACCGAATACATATACGACACACAAGTCACTTCATTTGTGTGTGGACTATGATACTACTTGAGAGCCCAGACCGAAGCAGGTAGTTTTCTTAATGAGCCACACCCGGAGCCTTCGACCTAAAAGTCTGATCCACAAGGCAGTGGAGCAACGTAAGGAGATGCAGTTTCATGATAATTGGTTCATACGCCATTTGTTCCATCGGGATCCTGGAGCCCATGTGCACCAGTGGTTTGGAATCAGGGTTTTCCAACTCCCCTATATTGAACCTCCATATCCAAAAACCTAGTTAATGCGCCGGACATTCGATCTGAGTACACAACACCGCCGCCACGAGAAGGAAATGAGTAGGAATTTCCTGGTTGTGACTGTATACGCGTGGCCATGTGAGCGTTTGAAGAAGAAGAGACGCCTCTCCCCACTCTCGGCCTTACCAGGGTATTTAATTATATATAAGATTAAAATGTGCTTCATTTTAATACACATTCGGTCGCTTATATCAATGTATACAATAAAAACATCTAATGGAATTTGGCTATGTTATAAATTCAATTAAACATAATACTGATCATTGTACCTAATCAATTCTAAAAGAAAGAAAGAAAGTATTTGCAGTTTATTTACCTCAATCGTTTTATTTCTGGTTCAAAATGGTAAATGATGAGAGTATGAGTTTCCTGTAGAGTTTCAATGTTAAATTAATGAATATCTTGTTAAATTATCGAGAACAAAATATATTAGACCAGTTATTTTTCTTTTTGATCACCTTCAAAACTTAAACAACAAGCCTCTATGAATGCAACTTTAAGATTGAATTAAAATAATTCAGTTTATGTTAACAACATCTATTTGAGTCTGATGACATCAATCACTAATACAATGTAAATAATTGTACGTGATATTTTCATTGTATTGAGGTAAAAATCATTTATAAAAAATAGTAATAAAATAGTTTTTTATAAACCTTAGTCACCATATGAAATTGCCAACACCCCTTTTATATATACAAAATATAATTCATAAAAATTGCTTAAAATCCTCTTGACGATTGAAATTTTATTGATAACTTTCACGTTTCATCCAACAAACTGGTTTAAGGTATTTCAGGGAAATAATTATCATCAAAATTATTTTATTCTAAGATCATTATAATAGTTACAAATTAGACTTCATGTTTTCTGTAGAAACCAGAATATAAACCATTACATTTACAGTATACACATGTGACTAATCGAACAAATAAATGAATTTCAATGTATAAAAGAAACTTATTGCTTTATGCAACTATTCTGGCGTTCAATTTCTTATTCTTATCTGGATCATCATTATCATCATCATTTGTAACACATTCATAAACAAAACGAGTAATTAATAGACAATAATAAAATAATTCAAAAGTTTTGCATAACTAGATTAACTCCTTCTTAACACAACAGTGAAAATACTCTACACACTAATCTATGACTTAAAACACTATATGGTCAGTAATTTATTGAACAAATACCTTCAAATGTCTTTTTAAATTGCAAAGATTCATAAAATCTTGACAATAGTGATGAATTATTATTTTTATTAGTGCGAAACGGTACAATGGGCAGAAAGAAAGCTTATTGTGAAAAATCACAAGGCATTTATATCATACTTATACATAGCCTTCTATCATCTATTTGCATCATACGGTGTGTTCTGAAGTCCGGACATTATTTTCATCTAGTTATCGAGTGTTCTGTCTATGACTTACTTTGATGTACTAGAACTCTTCTCTCTGTCTGGCAACTAGGACAACTTAGACGCCGAATTCAACTAATCAGTACTTACAAGCAATTTTGTGAGTAACGTTCAAAATAGTAGTAGTAGTAGTAATTCTTGTCAAATAAAAATGAGATCATCTATTATGGCATGTGAAAATGTCTATTAATGGTCGAAAGTATTTTCGGGATCCCGGTTGTTGTATAATTTTCATTCCAAATTGACTTACAAAAAAAACTCTTTAAGCCAATGTTTAACAAACGAAATGATTGTAAATAAAAAGAAACAAGATATACTCGTAGAGTTACAAAAGATTCAAGACTGAGTACACCTTAATTCCTGAAAGTAATGATAAGTTGTGTCAACGGTTTTCTCTAAGCATTTATAACCAACAATTCACAGTTGTCCAGTTCGTTATATGAAAAACAATACGCATAGATGAACTCGGAGATTAGCGTCTGATCACTATCTAACGACTCTGAGGTTTTTCTACATTACTCCTGATCCACATTAAATGAGCTTGTTAGTTTAATAACAGGACAAAACATATATGTAAAAACCATTTCAATACAAGAAGTATTCATAATTTAACAAACAACTTAACAATAACACTTCCATTTCCTAAACTTACTTTTGTAATCGCCTAATAAACGTTTTAAGAAAAAAATAGACAATAAGTTACGGTCATTTTCATGTTATACATCTTTCACATTCTTGTTTCAAAAACATGTAGTGATAAAAAAAGGGATTGTTGTTTTAAAAATTAGTGAAATAGATAAACAACATATAAAAGCAGCTATTTTCAACTTGTTTATTTTCATTAAAAAGGTTTTCGATATTAGTTTATATTGAAGGTGATTATCGTTAGTGATTTATTTTAGTCAGATCAAGTGAAAAGCTAATAAATTAGTATCACGGTCTGTGGAGATTGCTGAATTTTATAATTCACGAAATGATCTCAGGTGGCGACTCAATAGTCTAAAGGTTAAGTGCCAGCATGAGACCGAAAGTCCTGTGTTTGATACTTGGGTAGATTTTGGATATGTACAGCTGATAAATTACATACTAGAGGGATACAGCTATCCAGTGTTCCTAAATATTCAACGGTTGTCTGATTAAGGATAGTCAGTGATGTAAATCATAAAAATAAATAACTTATCGTCAATTTATTTATTCCTACTATCTTTATTCTACTCAGGTGCCAACAACCATGGATGCGTTTATGTGTTATGGAGCAGTTGTACCTAATGGATACGGCGCTGCATACAATCCACATCCTGATAATATTGTTGTAGTCATTTCTTGCTGGCGTACTAATCCTAATAATAATGCATCGAAATTTGCAGAAATGCTTGATTCAGCATTTACAGAAATGCGTGAACTAGTCCTTTCAAATCCTCAATTGGCTAAACAACCATCAAATGAACCTGTTGAATGGAGTATAGCTAAATCACTTGGTGCTGATGTAGGTCTAAATGTGACTGGTTAACGAGGAAAAACATTGAAAGAGATAGAGAGAAAATTCAAAAATTTATAGACCTATTTTTTGCGCCACTCGATATTTTTTCATTCACTAAAAAGGATTATATTTACATTGATTTTTTTTCCCTTTTTATGATTCTCTAGTAATTTTTTCGCTTGTGATTATAGTTTCCTGATTGTGTTGGGTTACTGATATAGAAAATGATTGTTAAAATCAAGATACCAAAATTTTATTTATTCATTACAACAAATTTTCAAAGCAGTTTTCTCTTATCCCATTTAATTTTATGGTAAGATAGCAAAAGATTTCCATTATTTATTACTTATTTACGTAATTCATTCACATTCAATCACATATTTATGTTAAGACGAAAAAATGGAACAAATACTTTTTCACAAATTTCAAAATCTAATTGATTCATAAGAATACTACTTATAAATTAGTAAGTAGGATAGAAGAGTAATACATCATTAACTTTATGTCCAAGCACATTAGGACAATAAATTAATAATCATGTTAGTGTACATTTCTGCAAGAGTATATATATATATACTCTTTTTCTCTCGAAATTGCTCACAGTATTATTGAACTTTCAAATAAAATTTATACGTACTTTACATTTTTTTGTTCATTTTATACTACTAAATCTGCAAACATTTTGTCTATATTAATACATTAATCAACTATTATGATTATATAAAATCTAGTGGATACACAATGATACATTTAAACATGCAATCATTTGTTCATCAAATGAGATTTTAATTAATCTCAAAATCCCTTCAATCATGTATACCCCTCAGGTTGTGAAATGTACAAATTATATTCCAATAATCATACATGCATATATACATATATGTTGTATTAAAATTATTTATTTATAATATGACAATTCTAACTTGAAATAATAAATGAAAACCATACATATGTACTGTGATCATTTTATCATGGACTTATTTAATTTTGAATTTAAACTTCTATATTGAATTTGTTTTAATCAACAATGTCATCAGCCTGGATTAATTATACTTCAAAAAAAAACAATTGGTTTCTATATTTTGGACAAATTAGATTAGTAAATAATGAATTTGTATATCACCTTTTGCTTAAAATATTATTATTATTATTATAATAATTATCATATTACTACTATGCATACATGATATATATCATACACATATATATTCATATGAAATACAACTTCTTGAATACATCTTCAGCAGTAATGAGAAAATCTTGTGTTTTTATTCTCTTTTTTATTCGTTGAATCCTACTAAAGACCAAAGAATAATAACTGAAATCTCATCATCAGTAAAATAGATTTGATCATAAATAGTAAAATACGATACAAAAGTGATTGATAATTTGGATTCAATAGTAACTCAAAATCCTTAGTGATATCTATTTATCATTTGTATGTGGTGGTGATGATGATCATGACTATCAGCAACTTATTTGTTTTCTTAAATTGAAATAAGACAATGAAATACTTGGTGGTCTGGTGTGTGTATGATAATCAGCCAAGTATGTCACTCTTATCCAATACGATAAGGATACGTAACATTTAATAGCCACAATCAGATCAAAAATAATATATTTTTATTATAAGTAGAAAAACTGTATTTCTGACGTTTCGTGACTTAATGTACGTCAGTTATGTTACTTGTCACAATCGTCAGGATATCAGAAAATTGAGGCTATTTAATTACAAGTATCATACTCAAAAAATACCAAGGCTATTAACTAAACTTATAATTCATATCACTGACAAGCGATGTCAAAAATTAGTTCATCAAAACACAACTACTTCTTCAATATATTTAAAGTTAGTTATTGAAACTTTGAAACTGACTAAATTCAACTTGGTTAAGTTCGATATTAATGATGAACAATGTCGGTAATTTAACTGTTTCTCATATGATCATTCCACATCATTTACAAACTAGTTCAACTTGTGAATCATTAACAGTCAATCAGTCAGCAACAGTGTAGGACCAGCCACATATATGCGACGGTCCAACTTGCCATACCTCATTAGCACAACAAGATGAACGCCGAATTCATAGTAGTTACTTCAATTGTAGTAATATATAAAAGAAGGATTGGACATAAGGATATGACACAGGGACAGAAAAATTAGTTTATAGAAAGGTACAAAGTAATTTTAGTCTCACGGTTTAAAGGAAGATAGACAGTACATACACCTACGTCATTGTGATAGATTCTGAGCCATGTCACCCAGAGTCTCCAACGATTGGTTACGAAACTGATAGATTTTAAAAGTAATTATAATAGCATTAATAACACCAATTACTATCATTTCGAGATGATTAGTTATTATTTTGCTGAGCAATCACTATAGCCATCTAACTTAACGAATTCTTAATAAAACAAGTGATATATGGCCTTCACAGTCATCGATTTGAGTCAAACCGTAATAGATAAAAACAAAGTTTGTATTAAACTAATGATAATTTGACAACTCCAACTAAGGGAAAATACTGATTGTAGAAAAGTCATTTTTCAACAATGGTCATATTGTGACGATTTAAGATTATGAATGTAGCAAATAATGATAGAAATAGTTCGTAATGAATCTAAACACAAGATTAGTTTTGTAGATGTTGGATATCCTGTATGTTAACAATTTTAAAATATATATATATAGTAAGATCTATTTGGACTAGAATTTAGACATTATAAGATGGATAGTGGCTAGCAGTGGAATCCAGGACGCGCGTTTCTTTCTATTTGAGACTCATCAGCTGGATGTGCCTGCATCTCAGAGTTGATGTTCACTCTAGGACTCGAACCCAGTACCGTTCGCTTTAAACGCTATCGCGTTATCTACTTAGCTACTGAATCCTGATAGCCACTTGCTTGTACAATTTAGACACTTTCATTTTGATACTTTCAAATATCTTGGCAAGATGATATCCAATTCAAAAAATTTCTTACACCTTTACTCGGTGAAATTAGCATCCGATGCATTCAAAATTCAATTCGTCAGGCGATATATGAAGAAAATAGATTAGGTTTTAGAAGATAATCTATACTATTTCACTGTAAATTAAATTGATACGATTAAAAAAAGTATTGGTAAGACTATAATTTATGGAAAACCTTTAAGCGACACCAGACTGACTTAGTGTCCACCTAATAACCAGGACCAAATGAATGTTATAAACCTGTGTGAAGAATTACAATTATGATTTACAGTTGGTGATTAAGGTTAGAAATTAAATTTATGGTTTTCATCACGAACTGACATCATCTATAATGCCAAAACTTTATTTATCCAAATGAATGAGTGAATTTCGTGCCAATATATATACTTTAGTCAAATATAAAGATAATGTGTATAGACTTAATAATATAAACTAATTAAATGAATTTTGAAAATGAATTCAACACAATTTACATTAAATTCAAATTATAATACTAACATAAATGTTAACAACTATCCTTCAGAAATATAAGGCTGAGTTTAAAGATGGAATGAAATCTTACTATATTCAACTAATAAGTTATAAAAATAATCCTATTCAGGTATACATATCAACACTTTGATATTCTTTGCTAAATCAACTGTGAATTCAATCAGTTATACATAAAAATAACAAGTTAAAACCAACCATACAAGATCTGTGCACCAGATATTCCGAAGATATACGTATCAATGACAGTAACCGTTGTATATTATGCAACTTATTTATTAAGTACGGATTTTTGTATCAGAAAGGATCTTGTGGAAATTGTAGTAATTTCAATGGTTGAGATCATGAGTCAATTAAAACTAGACCACCATGGAAAACTCCGAAGTGCTGGACGGCCGTTTCGTTCAATTGTGGAACTCCTCAGCAGTACGCATCCACGACCCCGCCTCGCGGGATTAGAACACGGGATCTATCAGTGTTGTGAGATGGTAACTGGCACCCAATTTCATGGACTAGTTGAAGTTAGACATTAACGCCGGTGGATGTAGGCTCAGTGGTTAAGCGCTAGCGCGCGAGGCGGGGTCGTGGATGAGCGCTGCTGAGGAGTCCTACAACAGGACGAAACGACCGTCCAGCACTTCGAGGTTTTCCATGGTGGTCTAGTTTAAAATGACTCATGATCTCAACTATTGAAATTACAGATTTTGGTATTTAACATTGAGCTACACTTTATGTTCAAAGAGTAGCGATAGTAATGGGTTACCCAAACTGAAATGAATGGGATGGAGTCCAAACTTGCATCCAATCGATTTAAACCTGACTGTTGTGTGTACTACGTTATCACTAAACGTTCTTCATTTTTTGGGTTATCTTAAAAAGCGTGAAATCAGTCAGGACTGATAAAAACACTGTTTAACCATAAATAGAAAATAATCTCCTTCAAGAAACTTGAAAATGCATTCAACTGTTCGGTAAAAAATAGCAACATGACAGATGATTGCTAGAACTTTTTTTCATGAGTTAGAACGACGATTTATCAAAATAACCATATTTCGAAAATGACAATATACCTCATGACCAGCACCGAAATAAATACTGTAGTTAGGGCTTAACTGATAAGTTGGAGGATAATTGAGAAACGGACGACCAACATGTTCACCTGTCCTAACTTTTTCTCGGTTTTTCAAGTTACATACTTAAGCTTCACATTTACTAGGAATAACAGTTTCAAGCACCTTTTTTAGATGGTACCGAATAATTTTATGGTTATTGTGAGACCGTAAGATGTTAGTTTCTTACCCGCATAGGGTCACAGGCATGTGCTCCTGAGGAATTTATGATCGCTTTAATTGTCTAAATAGATATACATACGCCTAAGTTTCTGTATGTATCAGTTATGCTCTTCTAAATGCATTATCGTGATACCAGTAGAAAATATACTACGAAACGTTTAAAAATGATGTGTTTTCCGGTGTTTTCTTAAGTTACTACTATAGATTCTCATTTTGAATAAGAATCAAAAGTATAAAATTTATTTGGTTGAATCTTCCCACTGATGTTTAGGAATCC